CATGCAAAGAAGGAGGAAGTACTTCATCGGTGTCACAAATGGACAATGACGTGACAGCTCCCCTGGTGGCCAGAATACCCTCATGAAAAAGCTGGAATGTTAAATAGCCTCTGTGTGTCTATATATGTTGGGTGTCTATGGCATTGAATGTTTGCCATGTATATGTACATTGTAATCTGTCCTGAGTCCCCTGCGGGATGAGAAGGGCGGAATATAAATACTGTAAGTAAATAAATAAATAAAATGCTGGGAGACCAAGGTTCAAATCACCGCTCAGCCATGGAAAGCCACAGGGAGACCTTGGGCAAGTCACACTCTCAGAAGAAGGCAAACACAAAGCCCCTCTGAACAAATCTTGCTAGAAAATAAAACATGATAGAGTAGCTTTAGGGCTGCCACAAGTCAGAAATGACTTGAAGGCAAGCAACAACAACAACTCTGCAATGAATTCAGGTTTGCATTTTCTTCTCATCCTTGATTCCCCTTTGGCTATAGTAAAATTAATCAAAGCATATTTGACCAAACAATGTTTTGCATAAAATATCATTTGTGTGTGTGTGTGTGTGTGTGTTAACTTTCACAGAATTCCTTACATTTTTGTATCGTTTTTGCCGAAAAAAGTGATTCCTTCATTTCTTGAAGGAAATAAGAAGTTGAGGTGCAGGTTATCTGCGACACCTTCGGGGAACGCGTGCAGGGCTGAAACTATAAATGGTGATGGGGTTTTAAGTGAAGCCTACATCTATTCTTCCCAGTATCATTTTGCATATATATTTATTCAAAATATTTCTGTACTGCTAAACTTCTGCCTCCCAATAGTTGTTCACTGAATATTTAAAACATTAAAATGTAAAATACCATATTTACTCGAGTCTAATGCTCCCTTTTGGGGGGTAAATTACATTGCTAAAATTGAAGTGTGCATTAGATTTGATAGCGTGTTAGAATTATTGTTTACTGTATTTGGATACCGCCCTTCAAAGCCCTCAGGCAACTCAGGGCGGTTTACAATGGCAACAATTTGATGCCCCAAAACACCACAAAACATTTAAAAACATTAACACATAAAACCATAACAAGAATATTAAAACATAGATCATTTGCGTATCTTAATAAAAAATATTGTCCCATTTCGTTGTCCAGTCGTTCCAATTCCTGTCTTTTACATTGCATTTTCAAACGCTTGCTCAAGCAACCAAGTCTCGACTCTTACCTGAAATGTTAAGAGGTAGGGGGTCAATCTAATGTCCCCAGGAAGGGCATTCCATAACCGAGGGGCCACCACTGAGAAGGTCCTGTCTCTAGTCCCTACCAAACATGTTTGAGACGCAGGTGGGATCGAGAGCAGGGCCTCCCTAAACCTAAACCTGTCTGCGCCATCGGGCAAGAGATCCCAGCTGGGGACAGAGGAGGAAGAGGCAGCGGTGGACATGAAAAGGCTAGTAGAAAGTGGATGGTGGCCACAAAAAGGCTGGTGGGAAGGCTAGATGGAGGGGCATGGCTTCCCATCAACCTTTTCATGGTCACCACCACCTCACATGGTATTTGACAGCAAATCCTTTTCTTTTTTAAAATAATTTTTATTAAAATTTCCAATTAATTAACATAAAATGATAAAAATGCACACCTTAAAAATTAATTGCACATTACATTCAATAGTGCATTATACTCAAGTAAATACAGGTGTTAATTCAAACAACATAGAACATTTAAAAATGACATAATACTGACTGTATGGTTGCAGTTCTCTTCCTATGCTCGCTTTACCAAGGAGCAAGTTAATTACTGGTGGTATGGGGTCTCTTTCTCTCTTTCTTTTTTTTTTTCTATTTTTTTTTTTTTACAAATTGCTTCAATGATGTATTTGCTCATAATTTTAAAATCATTAATCTTCTTCTCCCCGACTGGGTTCCCTGATTTAATGTATCTGGGTAGCAACGGCAGGTGTGCTCCCCTCTTCCCTAATCCTTCAGGCGTCCGTTTCAACAGAAATTCCTGATAAGCTTTTACATTCTCCAGTTGACTTGAGGAGAGTGATCAAAAGAGGGAAAGGGAGAGGCCATGAATGAATGCAAAATGACACTCTCATCAATCATTAGTCCCAGCGATTCCCAAGGAATAGTAGTAAATCACCATTGAAAGGGGAATTAGTTTGATAAAGTCAGCATTAGTGTCAAATGTGGATGATTTAAAATTTTAAAATCACTCCTGTTTTCTTTGGCTGTCATCTGGGCTATGGTTTGGGTTGCTTGCATATGTTCCATTCTAGTGAAGAATTGAGTGACATGTTCAAGTGAAGCATGTAAAATCTGTAAGAGACTTGGAGAGTCAGCGTTTGCCAACAGCTGCAATTCTGCATCTTGGGAAGCTGCTTAAACCCCACTGACACTAGTAACTGAAAGCAGAATTTTAGCATGAATGCTGTACCAAATTTCCAGCATTCAGTGGCACAATGGGTTAAACCCTTGTGCTGGCTGCACTGCTGACCAAAAGGTTGGCGGTTCAAATCCGGGGAGCGGGGTGAGCTCCCGTCTGTCAGCTACAGCTTCTCATGCAGGGACATGAGAGAAGCCTCCCACAGGATAGTAAAACATCCAGGTGTCCCCTAGCCAACGTTCTTGCAGATGGAAAATTCTATCATACCAGAGCACATCTCCTCTTATGAACCAGCTAGGACTTTCAGATCATCTAGGGAGGCCCTACTCTCGATCCTGCCCTTGTCACAAGTACGTCTGGCAGGGATTAGAGACAGGGCCTTCTCAGTGGTGGCCCCTCGGCTATGGAACGCCCTCGCTAGGGATATTAGATTGGCCCCTTCCCTTTTAACTTTCGAAAGAAGGTCAAGACCTGAGCAAGCGTTTGCAGACACAATATAACAGACATGGAGAAAGAAACCGGAACGATTCGACGACGCTATTGGATAACGCTTTTAACTAGGAGACTCAAATTGATTTATGTTTTTATTGATATTGTTTTACTTGGTTATATACTTAAATTGACTGTTTTAATTGTCTTTTATGTTTTTGATACTGACTATAAACCGCCCTGAGTTGCCTGTGGGCTGAGAGGGGCGGTATATAAATGTAGTAAATAAATAAATAAATAAACTTGCAATTTCTCAAGTCACTCCTGACACGAGGAAAAGCATACCTTATACGGAGTCATACAAGCAGCTCTTCCTTTGCCCTATCTTTTCCTCCCATATGGATTCAATGGGGTCTACAGATTTTTCCGTGCCACTGCTTCTTAAACTGTGGGTCCTGACCCTAAATGGACTTCCTTTAGCTCAGTGTCAGGGTCACAAAGATTGGCAACAATGAGAAGTTTCCAAATACCACCCATTTAACAAATCTGTTAATAATAATGTGCAATGTTTACAGAGGGCTCTGCAGAAAGTGCTTCAGCTATACTTCAGAAAAAGGAAAATCAGCTTCTTTAGCAAGTCCTGCAAATGCTACTTTATTATCAGTAAATGTTTGATTTTTATGTCTGTTTTGTATACTTATATACCTAGGGTCATGTAAAAATGTATCAGGTGGAAAGGGTTCACGAGTGAAAAAAGTTTAAGAAGCTCTACTTTATGTGGCTGGCTTTCAAGGAGTTGTGAAATTTGCTTTTAGGACTACACCTCCTGTAATCAAAGCCCTGAATTGTTTGGGACCCGTCTACTTTTGTGACTGCATTTCCTTTTATGAACCTACACGATTTCTTCGATCTTCCGGAGAGGCCCTTCTTGTGCTCCCACCTCCATCGCAAGTGCAACTTGTGGGGAGGAGGGAGAGGGCCTTCTCTGTGGTGGCCCCTCAGCTCTAGAATTCACGCCCCAGAGAAATTAGGCAAGCCCCTACCCTGGCAGTCTTTAGGAAGAGCTTGAAAACTTGGCTATTCCATTGTGCCTTCAAGGAATATTAACCTGAACTATAACCCCAGACCTGACCAAACCTTGGAAAAAGAAATGCCCTCGGAAGCACTTTATTTTCTACCTACTAGTGCAATTAAACCCTAACTTTCGTCCCTCTGATCCCCTGTCCAGATACAATACATTGCCTTTTCACCCAGTGTTTTAAACTTTTTAATCCTTGCTACTGGCCCTGCCCACTGTGATTTATTTTCTGTGTTTCAATTATTGTGATTTCACATTGCTTGATGTGCTTATTTGTGTTGTTTCTTGTATTTTATTTTTTATTTTACTGTCATTGTATGTTGTTTATTTGCATTGCTGTATTGTTGGGCTTGGCCTCATGTAAGCCGCCCTGAGTCCCCTTGGGGAGATGGTGGCGGGGTATAAATAAAGTTTTTATATTATTATTATTATTATTATTATTATTATTATTATTATTATTAATCCCCCAATTCTATATGGCTGTTAATTTTTAGCCCAAGAAAACCACTTCTTCAGGCTAAGTTGACATGGAGGTGATTTCACTTGTGGTGGGGCATTGAAGGTGTATTCAATCTCTGGATAGTGCGGACAGAATCTGGAATAATAAATCTACTGATAGGTGGGTTGTTGTAGGTTTTTCCGGGCTATATGGCCATGTTCTAGAGGCATTTTCTCCTGACGCTTCGCCTACATCTATGGCAAGCATCCTCAGAGGTAGTGAAGTCTGTTGGAAGTAGGAAAATGGGTTTATATATCTGTGGAATGACCAGGGTGGGACAAAGGACTTTTGTCTGCTGGAGCTAGGGGTGAATGTTTCAACTGACCACCTTGATTAGCATTTAATGGCTTGGAAGTGCCTGGGGGGAATCTTTTGTTGAGAGTGATTTGATGTGCCTGATTGCTTACTCTCTGTTGTTTTGCTGTTGTAATTTTAAAGTTTTTTAATACTGGTAGCCAGATTTTGTTCATTTTCATGGTTTCTTCCTTTCTGTTGAAATTGTCCACATGCTTGTGGATTTCAGTGGCTTCTCTGTGTAGTCTGACATGGTGGTTGTGAGAGTGGTCCAGCATTTCAGTGTTCTCAAATAATCTACTGATATCTGACTTGTGCCCACAGGTGCGAGAGCTGTGGGGCCGTCTTCCACTCCGAATGCAAGGTGAAGGCCGTCCCGTGCCCCAGATGTGTGCGCCGGGAGCTCCAAATGAAGCAGAAGTCTTTCTGGAGGAGGCTGAACATGGACGAGAGCCTGGAAGAGGCTTGCAACATGTTTGAACTGTCCTATCAGAACACATGACTCGAAGGCAGAAGGCTAGCAAACCGGCACTGATCCCTTTCCTAGCTGTGGGATGCATGCTTGCAAAGCCACGTAAGGGGCTGCCAGGGCTGAATTGTTGACTGAAAGAAATGGTCTGATGTTTGCTCTTGGGGCTTTTGAGTAGCTGGGGCCAAAGGTATATTTGGTATGTACGAACATTGAAGGCTAAAAGGCCTCTGTGAAGTTGATAAGTGAGCCAACTGGTCTTAAGCCAAATTTAGTTTACTTGAAACATTTCCTACCCTTTTCGCATTTATTGATAGCAGCATCTTATTTGTGTGTAATTATTTATTCTTAAGGATTCCAAATGTAAACAGATTTAGAAATAGAAAAGGTGATGCTGCTGCTGCTGCTTAAAAACCACAGACATAATCTGGAGAAGGTACTGATGAATTGGCATTTGCAGGCCATTTCCAGCTTAGAAAGAGGTTCCTTCTGACAAAAGCCAACTCACATATAGATCCACATTTAGACAAGCATACAAATGTATAGCAATCCTTGCACTCCATGTAGGCAAATGCTGTTGCTAGTCTTGTATTACACTTCCGAACAACTGGAGAACACTTGTAGCATTACGCTTGCTCCGCATTTCCATTTCCTAATAAGTCAGTAATTCACACTGCTGTTATGTCTCACATGTAGCATGATGAAACACCAAAATGGAACTCTTTTGATGCTAAATAATGCGCACAGCTTTTTTCTTCCTTCATGATAGAAGAACATATTTGGTCTTCTTTTTGCCAGTGTCATACACGCAGATGAAAGGATCAGTTACATCCTGTTCAGGTATTTACAGGCCTCTTTGCTGCTTTGTTAGTGTTGTTTCTCTCTGAGAGATGCATATACAAAGACCTCACAACCTCTGAGGATGCCTGCCATAGATGCAGGCGAAACGTCAGGAGAGAATGCTTCTAGAACATGGCCATACAGCCTGAAAAACCTACAACAACTCATATACAAAGATTTAGCATATAATATTCTGAGCCACTGCAAAGAACATATGCATCAAAATATTGGGATTCCTTCTAGATTTTCTAGTTTGGGGTAATGAAGCACAGTCTTTGTACTCAGTACAAAATTCTGCAAATTAGAGGTAGAGGCCTGTGATTGTGAACGCCACAGCAGTGCCAAGGTATGGTTGGTGATATTATTTCTCCTAGGTCTTAGAATGTGAGTAGAAATGTGCTTCTTACCTTCCTCATGTGCTACTAGCAACACGTAAAGACCTGTCCACCTATTCAGCTATCTCAAGAATAGATCTAATGAGTTATTGTCTATATATCTGTCACTTAACTTAATTTTTGTTTTTGCTCTGACTGAAAAGAGTCTCATGCACTGCTGATCTCTCATGTTTTATTGCATCAGATCCATAGGGACAAAAGCTTGTTGCATATAGTCTTTCTATATATTGGGTTTCTACATTGGAACAGAGAAGTCATTAAAAAACAAAGTAGGGAAGTTCCTGTGACAGGGATGGGAATTGTGGGTCCCTCTGAAAGTGGAGGAATATAGCTTTGAGTAGCCCAAGCCAGGAGAGTCAATGGTGAAAATGGTAAGAGGTGAAATCTGCCAACCTCTGTAAGGCTGGATGAGTCCTCCTTGGAGCACCTCGCAGGCCAAACAAAGAGAAATAGCAAATGTAATTAAGTAGAAACTAAAAGTATTCACAGTGGAATTCTTGAGCCTACCTTTCCCTTAGGTTTTTTTGCACCCATTTCCAGGATACACTTGGACCTAATGTTAAACGATAAGCATAACCTTTCATGGGCCTTCCAGACAGGTCCTGTATCCCAGGATCTGATTCCATGTTTTCTATTTACCCCAGATTATCTGTCAGTGCAGACTCATATAATCCAGTTTAAAGCAGAAAACCTGGGATCAGATCCTGGAATATAGGGCCTGTCTGAAAGGGCCCTTAGTCTCATAAGGCAACAAGGGGCAGTCTAGAGGTTTTCAGTGTCATTTTCGACTAACCATAATTTAGCATTATGTTCAACCACAAACAAACTGAGGGCCCTTCCACACAGCCCTATATCCCAGAATATCAAGGCAGGAAATCCCACAATATCTGAGTGTGGACTCAGGGCCCTTCCACACTGCCCTATATCCCAGAATATCAAGGCAGAAAATCCCACAATATCTGCTTTGAACTGAGTTATTTGCCTCCATACTTAAATAATATGGGATTTCCTGCCTTGATATTCTGGGATATAGGGATGTGTGGAAGGGCCCTGAGTCCATACTCGGATAATATGGGATTTCCTGCCTTGATATTCTGGGATATAGGGCTGAGTGGAAGTGCCCTGGGATTAGTCTTAAGTATGACTGACTAAAACAAGTCAAATTTGAACTCTTGACGTCTGGATTATGTGTTTCACCAAATCATAGTTAATAACAACCATACAGTAGGATTTGGGTGCAACAGTGTTTAATTGTGTGGTTAATTGACAATGGAAGCAAAATCTTCTAATCACCTATATATTGAAGAGGGGAAAGGCTGGGGGACCATGCAAGCAAAGGCTGAGAGAGGCTCGTTCCCATAGCAATAGCTTTTTGTTACATCTAAATGCAGGCAAGTCTCTGAGACCCTTGAATAGCCAGTTCACTTGGTATCTATCTCCATATTTTCAGTTGTTCCTCAAGTGTATACAGGTATTGATGCAACCCTTGTTTACACAGTTCCAGGAAGACAGTGTATAGTGATGAAAAACAACATGTATCTGCATGTATTCCCTTTTCGGCTAAGTAGAGTTGCTCTCCACTGTATGCATGGCAGTCTGATGCTCCCAGCTTAGATTGTAATTGTATTTAAGGCAACAAATATATTTAAAATTGATGAGCCTAATGGAATCAAACCTTTAATGTGCCTTGTAGACATGAAGATAAAATACAAACATCTGACTAAAACTAGGATGAGAGACAGCTAATACATAACAAAGAAAAGGGACGGGGAAAACATTAAAAATTGCAAATGCAGAAAAACATTCAAGAAAGGGTTGATAGACTGCTTTGTGTTAGACTTCTATTATTCATTCCTGTGTTTGTGTATATGTACCTGCATGAAACTTGTTGCACAACGAATCTGCTTAACATCCAGCCTTATCTAAGCAGCCACAGTTTGCAAGGGGAAAGGTGACTCATTGTAAATGCTATTGACTTATTTAGGAGCTTTGCAAATGTATTCAGATAACACGTGTGATAGTTCGTAATTGTCTCACTGGAAACACTGAATTTGAAAAACTGCCATCATTATAATTGATGATGTGGTAGAAAACACCTGCAGACAAGATATTGATCTGTCATTCATCATGGAAGAAGGAAGTAGCAACCAAGTATGTACGTAATGTTGTACACCTCACATAAAACGTTGGCTCTGAGCAAAGTGTCTCAGGACAGTCTGTGTATTGAGACATACTTGCCAGTGCCAATTGCTGCTCTTTCAAATTCATGGTAATTCAAATGCATCATGCCTTGGCCATGTTGACCCTGATCTGATTGCATTTTGCTCTGGGACTTCAACGTTTGTATGGGCTACCCAAAGCAAAAGATCAAGCCTCACATTTCATCTCATATGTTGACCTACCAAGTCAGCTTCATCTTGGTAGATACTGAACTGTTGTTGGTGGATTTATCCCTAGGATGTGTCCTGTCCACACCACAGAGAGCGGAATGTGTTCTTCATTAGAATCATAGAGTTGGAAGAGACCTCATGGGCCATCCAGTCCAACCCCCTGCCAAGAAGCAGGAAAATTGCATTCAAAGCACCTCCGACAGATGGCCATCCAGCCTCTGTTTAAAAGCTTCCAAAGAAGGAGCCTCCACCACACTCCGGGGCAGAGAGTTCCACTGCTGAACGGCTCTCACAGTCAGGAAGTTCTTCCTCATGTTCAGATGGAATCTTCTCTCTTGTAGTTTGAAGCCATTGTTCCACGTCCTAGTCTCCAGGGCAGCTTGCACCCTCCTCCCTATGACTTCCTCTCATATATTTATACATGGCTATCATGTCTCCTCTCAGCCTTCTCTTCTTCAGGCTAAACATGCCCAGCTCTTTAAGCCACTTCTCATAGGGCTTGTTCTCCAGACCCTTGATCATTTTAGTCGCCCTCCTCTGGACACATTCCAGCTTGTCAATATCTCTTTTCAATTGTAGTGCCCAGAACTAGACACAATATTCCAGGTGTGGTCTAACCACGGTATCGGTATCAGACCACAGTTTAGTATGGTGTACTTCCTAACCTTTTAATCTTTAGGGTAGTCACTATCTCATCTGTTGCAATGGCTGTGGCGGAGGGAGAGGGTATTGGATTGAGTAATACTTGCAAACGTCATATTTCTAAAAAGCATGGTACACACCTACTGTTTCTCATTTCCTGAACTGGTAGTAGGAAATATCCCCTCCCCCCAATGGAAAAAACATTCTAATTCTGAATCAAACTGGGCCAGAAACAGATTTAGTTCTAGATGAATTTCTGCATGAGAAGAAGAAGGAAAAAGCACCACACCTTGCCAAGTTGCATTAACATAATTGAGCTCCTGTTGACATTAATAACTAGAAAGGGAGGCAGTTATGAAACAATATTAGTTGTTTACACATTTCAGACTAATCACAGGCATCTGTTATAGCAGAGGTTTTCATCTGGACGTTAAGAAAGCACCTTTTAAAGAACTCTTTCCAACATTTCAAAAACCTATCCATCATTTGGAAGTGCCAGTCTGCCCACAATTAAACAGATGATTCTGCAGCCAAATGTAAACCACTGTACTCTGAAAATTAAGCAAGGCAGTGGATATCTCCCAGGCCCCTTCCACACAGCTGAATAAAATCCCACATTATCTGTTTTGAACTGGAATATATGGTAGTGCGGACTCAGATAACCCAGTTCAAAGCAGATACTGTGGGATTTTCTGCTTTGATATTCTGGGGTATAGGGCTGTGTGGAAGGGCCCCCAGTTATGTATCTATTGCTTTCTTTATCATTACTTCAGTCGCCTCTGACTCTTCGTGACCTCATGGACCATCCCATGCTAGAGCTCCCTGTTGGATGTCACCACCCCTAACTCCTTCAGAGTCAAGCCAGTCAATTCAAGGATCCCATCCATCCATCTTGCCCTTGGTCGGCCCCTCTTCCTTTTTCCTTCTATTTTCCTCAGCATCATTGTCTTCTCCAAGCTTTCCTGTCTTCTCGTTATGTGGCCAAACTACTTCATCTTTCCCTCTAATATCCTTCTTTCCAATGTACTATTCAGATATTTAGTGTCTCAACTTAGTGTACAGACAGTAGTGCTATCCTGATTAAAGTCGAGAAAAATATTTGCAAGGCTTTGACTTACTTCAGTAGAAAATCAAAAGTAACAACTTTGTCTCATTGTTGTCAATTCTTAAAAGAGAAATTTTCAAGCCCACCCTCCACGGTAATATTAATTAAATGAGTTGGCATTCTAATTCTACTGCCACCACGCTTTTGCTGGAAGCAGCATGAAATTGACATCTTTTGCTTCCTTTAATTAAAAAAAATTAAAGACAAAATTAAAGACATCAAATAGGAGAATAAGCATTTTCTGATGAATATGTTTGAGGTTGCTACTGGGCATCAGGGCTCTCACCGTAGCTTTCTACCTTTTCATGTCTTTGATGTCATATCCTGCCTCGTATAAATCCGAGTGGCAGGAATTCAGATTTGGGGCAATTTAAGAATTATACTGGATGCA